TCGACGATAATATGTGTAATATGTATACGATAATATGTATTATCGTCGATGGTGTGTCTTGCCTAGAGTAGTTGGTGCTGGGAGTACCTAGTGGTGCTTCTATTAATTAATCTGAGTATATTTTAGCTTCAGTTCAGGTTAAAGTCAGGCTTTTACGACTTCCTGTTAAAAAAATGGAAGAAAGACCACTTTAGTTTATATTTGACGGTTCCGTGGCGCAGTAGTTGAGCTTGAGTTGCGGCGCTGCGGGCCGCGGGTTCGAATCCCGTACGGAACAGTATTTGTATGGCCTACAAGTAACTGTTCCGGGTCTGAATTTTATCCTTGTGCGATTCGTGCCACTTCAGCTTCCTAATCCGTTGAGCTATGTTGGTTACTCTGGTTCTACTGCGAATGTCCTAATTTACGAGCATTTGGCTGCATTAATTCAAGAAACCATAGAATATTGTGAACTTTCGACAGTGGCGGATTTATCAGCAGGCTGAGTAGACTGGAGCCTAGGGGGACAGACTTTTAGGGTGGCAAATTTGTGGCTAAATTCTTTTTATGTCATATAGAAATTTAAGAGACTTAAATTTTAAAAGGAAAGCTGAAGAAATATGTTCCGTCATTATCTTGGAACTCGGTTTTTTTTTTCAGAATTTAGTGGCAACTGCGCCTGCTGAATTTTGCAACACAAAAGCTTGTTGCTATGGATGCAAATGACTTAGTAACGTGAATACACGTGACTAAACATTAATTTCGTTTATAGATAGTCAACTTAGCTAATCCCACAGACCGACGATGGGCAGCAGCATCGAAGGGGTTGGGACGTTTGGCACTGCGATCGTGAAACTGCTTGCCAAGTGAGAGGGTTAAGGCAAATACTTCCTACTAGTGTACTTCTCACGTGGTAGAGCCATGGTATATTAGTAGTATAGTTGTAGCACGAATGGGCCGGCTCGACCTGTGAAGGACCATGTTGCTTCGAGAGATCTACATCTTTTTTTGTAAATTCGGCACAACGCTGGCAAAAAAATAATGACTAAAATCGAGAAAAGGAAAACGCTATAGAGAGTAAATCCGACACGTTTGATTAGGACGCTTTATAGAGATTTTTGGAATCCTTAAAACTTTGGAATCAATCAAGGATTGTAGCGAGAAGACTGTAACGCGAAACTTAGCGAGCGGAATTATACTAAATTTAGAAGAACTGAAAATGGCGATAATGGTTGTTGTGTGGAATGTTTTTTTCGGAAAGAATGAACAAAACAAATGTTCAAATTCAAGAAGTATCTGTAGATTTGATCACTGTTGTCGATCTTTGTGGATTTTTATGAAGCTGAACGAGAAAATTTTAACTATTTCGAAGAAAAAGCGACGGAAATAAGCGTGTCGAAGCAGTATACAAAATCCGTGGATAAAAGTTAATCGAAAAGGAAAAAAAATTCAAACACCCGATGAAGAAATGAGAAAGATATTTAGAAAAACTGCAGGAGGCCTTGATGATGCACAACAGATGCAATGAAAAGTTTTCATTTTTGAGCAAATAAAGTTTTGTGTGTGAATTATTGTCATCAACTCTTATGGGAAAATCCCCTTTGCTTGGAACAAATGTATCCTTATGATATAGAGACTGATTTAGTATAGAAATGCATACATTTTGCTAATGTCATCAGAGTTTTAGTAAAATCTGATTCTGGATCATTGAAAAGTCTCTCCATTCCTGCGAAAACGAAATTCGCAAAACGTTTATCTAAACTTTAACGCAGTGAGCTTTATGTATGGAAAAATTGAGAGAGTGGAAGAATTATCTAAGATCTACCATAAGCCAAAAAAAGCTAAACGCCTTGGCGCTTTTGTGCATACAGAGTCAGTTACGACGATTTAAAATTGATGATTTTGCGAATAAAAATTGCGCAAAACACTTTTCTACTAACTATAAAACATTCTAAATTAATTTATTGAATTTCTTCATCAGCCGCATTGTTACCACATAACTGTATACATTGTTTTTAAACTGTAAACGCAATAAAAATTATTTAATTAAGTACATTTACCAAATGTAAGTAGTAAGAATGAAATCATACCTTACACCGCCTTATTAGTAATCGTACCCGATTAAGTTTTATTAGTTCAGAAATATAACCATAAAATATTTTTTGTGTAATCTTAACTAAATCTTTGGGTTGTCAAAATATTCTAGTAAATGACACATCGATCCGCTATTTCATAATCATACTAATTACGGCAAAAGGTGGTGTAATTAGGACGATCGTGCACAAATCATTAAGCTACAATTTAATTAACAATAAATGTTATTAATATGATTGTGAACTAGTGTACCAAATTGTAGAAGTCGGTAGGGGCGGCAAAATTTGAATAGCCTACTGACGGCAAATGTGTGAAACCGCCACTGCCTCTCGAGACTTCTTACAACTGGTGTTACGTGGCTACTGTATATGGAAACACCACAAAACCAACCGGACACAAAAACTATCGGACCCATAATATGCATTACAACCGTATACGAGAACCAATTGCAAGTATTAAATGAAAATAAAAATATTTATGTGAAAAATGATAAATTTTTTTTATGCTCAGAATGAATATCGGAATGTATCACGCAGTTGTAAAGAACTTCTTCTCATTGACAAAGCTGTTTACTGGCAAGTCTACCGTAACCGTAAAAATCTGTCCTGAGTGATTTACCTACAAACTACAATTAAATGAGAACGGCCTTTTACGAAATGGAGGAAGTCCGGGGCCTTATAGACGGCCTGGGACTTTCTTATACATTCATGGCTAAAGAGATTAGAAATATAATAATAATAAAATCTTTATTTCGGATAACACATGAGATCCATATCAGGCTAGAAGTTAGAAAAATCACAAAATATTAATAATTATACAGCTAGGTAGACGGAGGAGGTATGCACGTATGCAAGCACGCACGCACGCACTCTCTCTCTCTCTCACACACACACACACACACACACGCGCGCGCGCGCACACACATAGGTAATTTAATCACACAAGACCTTAAAAATGTGCCTTATTACAGGACAGCAGTCATATTTTTGTGCTATTACCCTCAGAATACCGTTTGTGATGTTCCTCGTACTGCTAGTAGCGATGCGGGTTTTTTGGACATTGTCGCATCAATCCGTGCAGAAGCGGAGCAGCCCCAACTGAACTCTAAATGTATTATCATATTGCTCCTTTAATGCTTTATGCGCCCTTTGTGTGCAGCTGGCCCATGAGTGGCAGTATGCCTTAAAAGAGTTATTTTAACGGCATCTACTGCGTCGTGCAAACCTACGGGCCAACATATTACTCCGGGTCGCTAAAGCCCTACGCTCCATCTTCATGTCCATTTCATCACGCAAATCCTCGGTCACGTAGTGTCCCAAGTATAGGAAATGTGATATCCTCGATAAAAAGGTGTTTGTAGAGTCTGATAGGTGGCACGTGCATGAGACTCTTGTTATTAGCTTTAAACAACAAAAACTCGCTTTTCTTTATATTTATAAAAATAATATTAATATTGAAAATAGTTAACAAAATTTGTAAGTTTCTGAGTAAATGCATGGGTCAGTGAAACACTGTCCTAAGCCTTACTAGGTGAATGACATAGTAATTCAATGGTAACTTCTATCTATATATTCTATATTTTATACTATATATTCTAATGGTAAGTCTAACTTGATTTTGTTAAGCTCTGAATTCTTTAAGGTTTCGGAAATAAAACTACGTATTTTACATCTCAAGCTATTCACATCTACGGAGAATGATCTATTATTATTGTTGAAATTATTACATAATTTCCATTCTATTGCAATGAAGTTTGGAGTAGATAAAATGTAATGTCATCCATGTATGTAAGTAGAGGCTAAATTAAAAATTCTGATAAAAAATCCTCTCATTCTGATATTTATTTTTATAGAATAAGGGTGACAAACGAGCACACAGTCCACCTCAGTCCACCTGATGGTAAGTGGATGCATGTGGTCCATAGACATCTAGGTACATTTTTCCCCTATTAAGAATCAAATGCAGATGCGTTGTCACCCTTGAGGAACTGGAATGCCTCGTTTCCAGTAAAAAGGGTCTCCGGATCTCTACGCTCACCATACGAAACAAATAAAATATTAAATAAATAACAAATGACTTACATTGTAGGGCCCCTTTTTGAAACCAGAACTTATAATACTTGGTTATGGCGGAAGCGCTATGTATTATGACAAAATATTTTAAAAAATCCAAAAGATAAATGTTTTATAAATCTAAAAGATTGACTTTTGGTGTTACAAGACGAATATTTTTTCTACTTTTAATAATCCTACATTTACAACAATTCTCAGAAAATATTCAGGACTTATTCAAAATCAAAAAGTTATTAAACAGAAATTGCTTAATCGGGATTATTAAACTACTAAAGAGTACATGATTGAAATAACCCAGGGGAATGAGGTGATCATTACCATGCTGTTTCTAAACATTTTCTTATTTAACTGTATAAAATACAATATTGTAAATTAATTTAAAAAAATGTGCGCTGGGTCTCTTGCTGGTTCTTCACAGGACAAAGGTTTTTTTATCTGAAAGAGTGGTAAAGTTAAACGACTTTAAATAATTATTCTTTTAATCTATATTCAATTAAAAAAATTCTATTGTAGGCATTCTAATTTGGATACTATAAGAGTCTACTAAGTCAAATGCTAAGAAATCTTAACCAATACTACGCTAAGTCAACAGATAAACCTTTGTGAAAAAACTACAACTTCGTGTGTTTGCCAATACATGACGCATTGAAGCTTATCTCTTGCCCTTCAGCTTCCATTCACATAGTCTCTACTTCGTATCGAGTTGAGGCGAGGTGGAGGTGGTGCTTGTTCACTTGACAGCATAATCACTAATCAGCATACACGTTTTCGCGTTCGCGGTGTAAGCACGCGTCGTGTTATATAGTCGCTAGTGGTGTAACTTTGGATAATAAACAATTAAAATATCCAGCGATAATGGCGCCGGTATCGAATACAGTGATGGGCATCGACGATGATCAACGTTTCGCGTTAATGAAGGTGAGATAATGTATTTTAAACTATCACTTATCCCTTGGTCACGGTTGGTGTGTTTTTTTTTTTACAAAATAGATGTCTTGCATTCCATTTCCGTTCGTTGCCCCTTTCGATTTGTTTTCGATATGATGAAATTGAGCTACTTAAGTAATAGTAATCGTTTCAAGAAAAGGCGTCCTAATATTAGGTATATTATACAAATTTAAATTAAATTATATTTACACAATATATGTAGTTCATACATAATGATTTCTTATATTTACGCGAACACTACACATGATTAAAACTACTTTTACGGATTTTATCGCGTTTATTTTTGCTTTTAATTACTTTTATTTTTAATTCCCGACGTTTCGGGCGCTTTCCAGCACCCATGGTCACGGGGGACTGAGATGAACGAAACGTCGGGAATTAAAAATAAAAGTAATTAAAAGCAAAAATAAACGCGATAAAATCCGTAAAAGTAGTTTTAGTTCATACATGATACTGTCTTTGTTTATATATATTATAGCTGTGTTTAGTTTTTTGTTAACGATTGTTAGTATTCTTACAAAAACATTAACAAAAGATAGAAAATTAGTAAAATATATGCTTTCATTATGAAGATGGATTTAACCTATTCGGAGAGGGCCCCTGAGCCGTGCGGAAGGGGTTCACAAAAAGTAACATTTTGTTTAACCATTCATAAAATTAGTTTTATTAAATGTCTAGTATTTATGTAAATATAAATAAATCATTACATTTCGGGCGACACATTTTGTGTGTCACAGCCGCTTAATTTGAATGGTAGTCAATAAACGAAAGCAACCTTTTACTTATAGTACACCTACCAGTTGGAAAGGAAGGTTTTTGAAAAGAAACTTGAGCTCGTTAAAATGTAGAACTTCTAATTTATAATAAATATTTAAAATATTTTTATACGTGGGGAAATCCGCATAGAAAACCCTGCATGACAGAATCCTATCCCGAAGTCTATATTGGTACAGGCTCCTTATCGTTGAGGGGGTAGAGCTAAAGTTCAGGACCGGACGAACAGTCGACAGTTCTGGTTCCTCTCGCTCAATCTATTTTTAAACATGAGAGATGACACCCATTAACAAATGAATGATAATCAATGCATATCCATAAGCAATGAACTCTGCTCTTCATGTCACAAGCAGGAGATATTGTCATTAAAAAAAATGGTGGTATACTACCTTTAACGAGATGATTTACATATTTTTTAAATATCGTTATAATAAATACATGACTTAATGTAGTTCATAGAACCTTAAATTGTATTGTTAATTAGCCGGCCCAGATAATTTTGTAGTCACTTACCATCAAGTGAGTCGTGTGCTCTAATATTAAAAAAAATTAGGTGTCTGTAATATTTTAGGTAACTGGCTTCTATTGAACTCGGGGGTGTTATTTGCATTCTATTTGAAAATTAGAATAGATTTGACATGTCTGATAGGAATAAAAATTACACTTTTCTAACAAATTAACTACCCCGTTGTGAAATCTGTCGAATATTGCACGTCTACTTAAGTGACGCCGCTATAGTGATAGAAAAAGTTTTCGATGCCCTCATTAACATCCCAGAGGAAATACATTGTAATTACTCTAAGGTTAACACTAAGATACTAGATTATAAATAATAATATAATATACTGGAAGTGGAAACAAAGATCAACGTCGACATCAACCCCAGTCTTTATATAAATATCAAGCGAAGTTACTTTTTTACGAAGCGTTACATATAAGCCACACGAACGATTATCTTAAATAGACATGTACAAAATTAAATCTGATAGAGCTTATCGAAAATTGAATCAAAATATTTACAATTCCTTCATCATTACAGTTAACAAGTTCTCTGGTGAACATAGGCCACCCCAAGGAATTCCACAAAGCACGGTCCTGAGTACACCTGTATCCATCGGCTTTCTGCATGTCTTACCAAGTCGTCGCTCCATCTAGTGGAGGGATGTCCTACACTTTGCCTGTCGATACGAGGCTTCCACTCGAGAACCTCTTCCCCATCGGTTGTCAGTTCTTCGCGCTACATGGACGGCCCATTGCAACTTCAGCTTACTAATCCGTGGAGCTATGTCGGTTACTCTGGTTCTATTGCGGATATCCTCGTTTTTAAGTATATCACGCAGAGAAACCCCGAGCATAGCCCTCTCCACAGCTTGCTGAGTGAACTTGAGCTTTCTCATACGACCAGCAGTGAAGGACCACGTCTCAGATCCATAAGTCATCACTGGCAACACGCACCGGTTGTACAATCTTGTTTTCAGGTTTTGAGGTATGCCTGACGAAAAGATGTGTCGCAATCTCCCGAACGTTGCTCAGTAGGACCTCTTAATCTCACTTAACTCGATCAGGTGTCCCGGAAATGATGCTACATTTGGTCTTCAGCTTCGACAGTTGGCTCCTTCTGGCAGACAGATCGCCAGATAGACGCCAGACGCGGTCGGTTCAACTGATCATTCCAACTGATCAGCTCAAACTAAAACTGTTGATATTTTTTATAATATTGAATTTTCGATATATCAATATCCAAAAGTTTATTTATCGATATGTCGAAAATCCAATATTTAAAAAAAATATCAACAGTTTCAGTTTGAACTGATCAGTTGGAATGATCAGTTGAACTGACCGTGTGTTTCGACCATATGAATTGCGCAATTGCCTTTCCGGGACAAGATGTGAAGGTGGGATTCATTTATTCTACCACCACATGATAAAATTATAAGTTACTAATGAAAACTTGCGTCAAAAAAGAAATGTGTTAAAGTTATTAGTCTACGAAAGTGAGTGAAAGTGAAAAAGTTAATTAGATTCACCGCGGCAGCTCAAAATATGTTTGCACGTTTAATATACAGTTACAACGTACATAAATTACCATTATAATTGGAGATGTTACGGAACGACGTCTCAGATGCAATTTAAAATTAACAAAAGCAATGAACGCGTTTAGTTATGGTTTTAAGGAATGCGCTCGTTATGCTTTCTGAAAGACGTTATATAAACGTGTAACTTATATATCATCCTCTGTGCAACAGAAGAGGACCGTGTCCAACAGTGCATTGTTGCGCTCTGATGAAGAAGATGTTATGCATCATTATATGTGGTTGTGACAAACAGGCACAGTCTACCTGATAGTAAGTGGATGCTGCATAGGCATCTACACTGTCTCCCCGGAGTCTTAAGATAAAATATCTTCTTACCAGTATAAAAACTCATTCTCGTCACTTTCTCGTCTCGTCACTTTTTATACCAGGTAGAGCCACGCTGCAGCTATATTATGGTTGTAGCACGAATGGGTCGGCTCGACCGGGGAAGGACCACGCTCTCACTGAATACCAGCGTGAAATAGCAGCTTAATACTGATGTGTTTCGTATGATGAGTGTAGAGATTCGGAGACCCCTTTTTACTGGAAACGAGGCATTCCAACTTAGTCATCAGGGGTGAGCATACGCATTTGATTCTTAATCAAGGATAAATGTAGATGTCTATGGGCCACAGCATTCACTTACCATCAGGTGGACTGTGTGCTCGTTTGTTACCCTTATTCTATGAAAAAACTTACCATACAAAATTTAGCAGCATTATGCTGTAATTTTATTCCGGTATCAATCTGCTGCAGCCATAATACGCAGCAGCATAGCTATGCCTCTACCATCTATGTGTGAATCTTCATATTATCTAATCTGAACAAGTAAAAAGCTTGAAGTTTATGTTTTTAATATCAAAATTACAGCTTCTTACCAAACGCATATGAAAGTATATGCGGTACTTATAACAAAAAAAAAATATTTTAAAATTCTTGTCTATCTGTCTGTCCGTCTGTTTATTCCGGTTAATCTCCGAAATGGCTGGACCGATTTTGACGGGAAAAGTCCCCCAGTGAAAGCACTGGCAGATACCTGCCATAATCAGAGGTAACTTAGGCTACTTTCATTTAAAAAAAAAGAAAAGGGTTCTGCGCAAAACAACTGAATTCCATGTAATATATTCCACGCGGACGAAGTCGCGGGGAACAACTAGTAACAAATAACAACTCTTTCCGGTTTTCAACTTTTACGGCGCAATGAGTAGATGAGGACCGATTTTGATTCAATTTTGTGTGTGTAATTAAGTTGATTCTCTAGTATGGTTTCGATTCACAACGGCACCCAGTAGGTGGCGCTGTTGTCGTGATTTAGAAATCACCCGTGCGCAGCCGCGGCGGATCGCTAATCTTATTATATATATAATTTACGTGTCACGTTGTTTGTCCGAGATGGACTCCTAAACTACTTAACCGATTTTAATCAAATTTGCACACCGTGTGCAGTTTGGTCCAACTTGAGAGATAGGATAGTTTTTTGCGAATTTAAGGATTTTTAATAGGACATGACAAATTGTCGTCGAAAAGGGCAGGCAACAACGTCTGCCTGGCAAGCTAGTACAAAATAAAAAACATACATACATATATAAACGTATATCATATAACATATATATGTAAACTCTCACGCCTCTTACGCAGAGGGTAGGCCTACGGTCTTCCATTTGGCACTATTCCGACACACGCGCTTTTTTCTTATGCATAATATATCTACGCATACATGCACGTCGAGAATCGAAGATGGACTCTTGATTTGGCCCATCTTCAACATAATGGTAATTTGATAGATAAACATCAAAAGTCACTTTTGACTGCCACTTACAATATAAATCCTTTTAATAATTTATTCATAGTGTAGGTAATAGTGTTTGTTTACGTGGTAGAGCGACGCTGCAGCGATATATTTTTTTATACGATAGGGTGACAAACGAGCACACAGTCCACCTAATGGTAAGTGGTTGCTGCGGCCCATAGACATCATCTACATCTATCCTCGATTACAAATCCAGTAAAAAGGGTCTCCGGTTCTCTACACTCACCATACGAAACACAACAGCATTAAACTACTAATTACGCTGGTATTCTGTGAGAGCGTGGTCCTTCCCCGGTCGAGCCGACTTATTC